AAACAGTGAGCAGATTGTGCTTATATTCATTTGAGTTTCGAAGATTGAGATGTGACCTTATTGAAACATGTAAGATTCTAAGGGAGTTTGACAAGATAAATCCTGAGATAATGTGTCCCCTTGAAGAGGATTCTATAATTTGGGGGCACAGTTTAAAAATAAGAGTCAACCATTTAGGACCGATAAGGAAAAACTTTGTTCTCTTAGAAGGGTTATAACAATTGTTAAGCTTTGGAATTCTTCACCTCAGTGAGCAGCAAAGTCTGATTCATTGAATTTCACATTTAAGGTTGTGCTGGACAAGTTTTTGACTTATAATGGAGTCAAATGTTATGCAGGCAGGGGTGGGCGGGGACAATAGGCAATCAGATCAGTCACACGTGTCTGCATGGGATTCCTCTAGTTGCTTCAGTGTTTTCCCCAGAGTCCAAAGATGTACAGGTAGGTGAGTTGGCCCTGCTAAATTGCTCACAGTGTCCCGGGATATGGTGGCTAGGTAGGTTAGCCATGGGGAATACAGGGTTACAGGAATAGGGTAGCGGGATGGATCTGGGTGGGTTGCTCCTCAGAGGGTCGTTGTGGACTCAATAGGCTGAATGGCCTGCTTCCACATTGTAGGGATTCTATGATTCTATGATCTTATAGAAACATGGAAACATAGAAGATAGGAGAAGGCCATTTGGCCCTTTGAGCCTGCTCCTGCCATTCATCATGATCATGGCTGATCATCCAACTCAATAGCCTAATCTTGCTTTCTCCCTATAACCTTTGAACACATTTGCCTCCAGTGCTATACCTAGCCACCTCTTGAATACATTCAATGTTTTTGCATCCTGTGGTAATGAATTCCAAAGGGTCAGCACTCTTTGGATGAAGAAGTATCTTCTCATCTCTGTCCTAAATGGCCTACTCTGAATCTTCAGCCTGTGACCCCTGATTCTGGACGCACTCACCATCCGGAACATCCACCTGCATCTACCCTGTCTAGTCCTGTTAGAATTTTATAAGTTTCTATGAGATCCCACCTCATTCTGAACTCCAGCGAAAATAATCCTAATCTAGTTAATCTCTCCTCATATGTCAAACCAGCCATCCCTGCCATCCCCGGAAACAGCATGGTGAACCTTTGCTGCACTCCCTCAAGTGCAAGAGCGTCCTTCCTCAGAAAAGGAGACCAAAACTGCACACAATATTCTAGGTGTGGCCTCACCAAGGCCCTGTATAACTGCAACAACACATCCCTGCTCCTGTATTCAAAACCTCTTGCAATGAAGGCCAACATAGCATTTGCCTTCTTTACTGCCTGCTGCACCTGCATGCTTATCTTCAGCGACTGGTGCACACTCCCCTCTCCCAATGTACAGCCATTCCGGTAGTAACCTGTCTTCCTGTTTTTGTTTCCAAAGTGAATAACCTCACATTTATCCAATTTTTTCTGCATCTGCAATTGATTTGCCCACTCACCCAAGCTGTTGAGATCATGCTGAAGGATCACTGCATCCTCGTCACAGTTCACCCTCCCACCCAACTTGGCATCGTCTGCAAACTTTGAGATGTTATATTTTGTTCCAACTCATTAATATATATTGTGAATAGCTGGGGTCCCAGCACCGATCCCTGTGGCACCCCACTAATTATTATCTGCCAATTTGAAAAGGACCCATTAATTTCTACACTTTGTTTCTTCTCTGCCACCCATTTTTTTATCCATCTCAATACACTTCCCCCAATCCCACGCGCTTTAATCTTGCACATTAATCTCTTATGTGGGACTTTGTCAAACACTTTCTGGAAGTCCAAATATACCACATCGACAGGCTTCCCCTGGTCAACTCTACTAGTTACATCTTCATAGATTCCAACAGTTTTGCCAAGCATGATTTCCCCTTCATAAATCCATGCTGACTCTGTCTGATCCTGCCACTGCTTTCTAAATGCTCCACTATAAAGTCCTTGATAATGGATTTGAGAATTTTCCGCACTTCTGATGTTAGGCTTACTGGTCTGTAATGCCCTGTTTTCTCTCTACCTCCCTTTTTGAATATTGGAGTGACATTAACCACCCTCCAATCTGCAGGGACTGTTCCAGAGTCTATAGAATCCTGGAAGATGACCACCAATGCATCCACTATTTCTAGAGCTACTTCCTTAAGTACTTTGGGATGTAGATTATCAGGCCCTGGGGATTCATCCACTTTCAATTCCACCAATTTTCCCAGCACCATTTCTCTACTATTATTGATCTCCCTCAATTCTTTTCTCTCACTAGATCTTGCATTCTCCAACATTTCCGGTATCTGATTTGTGTCCTCTTTTGTGAAGACAGAACTAAAGTATGTATTCAGTTGTTCAGCCATTTCTTTGGTCCTTATTAAACATTCCCCGTTTCTGTCTTTAGAGGACCTACATTTGTCTTCACCAATCTCCTTCTCTTCATGTACTTATAGAAATGCTTAGTGTCAGTCTTTATATTCCCTGCAAGCTTACTTTCATACTGTATTTTCCCCTTCCTTTTCAATCCTTTGGTCCTTTGCTGAATTCCAAACTGCTCCCAATCCTCATACATATTATTTTCTTGGCCAATCTGTATGCTTCTTCTTTGGATCAGATGCCATCACTGATTTCCTTTGTAAGCCACGGATTGGCCCTCTTACCCATTTTGCCTTTGTGCCAGACAGGAATAAACAGTTGTTGCAATTCCCCCAAGCGTCCCTTGAATGTTTGCCATTTCCTATCCACTGTCATCCCTTTAAGCAACTCTCCTCAATCTATCAAAGCTAACTCATACCTCATATCTTCGTAGTTTCCTTTATTAAGATTCAGCACCCTCGTCTCTGAATCAATTACCTCACTCTCCATCTTGATAAAAAATTCTATCATGTTATGGTCACTCATCCCCAAGGGGTTTTGAACAGCTGGATTGGCAATGATTCCCCTCTCATTACACAGTACCCAGTCTAAGATCGCCTGCTCTCTAGTTGGTTCCTCCACGTATTGGTCAAGAAAACCATCCTGTATACACTCCAGAAATTCCTCCTCTACGGCATTGTGGCAAATTTGATTTGCCCAATCTATGTGCAGATTAAAATCATCCATGATCACCGATATTCCCTTATCACACGCATCTCTAATTTCCTGCTTAATGCCATTCCCAATATCACTACTGCAGTTTGGGGGTCTTTATATGACACCTACTAATGTTTTTTTCCCCTTGGTATTTCTCAACTCTACCCATACAGGCTCCACATTGTCAGAGCTAATATCCTTTCTCACTATTGTGTTTATTTCCTCTTTAACCAGCAATGTCACTTCACCACCTTTTCCTTTTTGCCTGTCCTTTCTAAATACTGAATACCCTGGGAAATTCAGTACCCATCCCTGGTCACACTGCAACCATGACTTCGTAATCCCAATTATATCGTACCCTTTTACATCTATCTGCAAGATTAGTTCATCCACTTTATTGCAAATGCTCTGTGCTTCAAGGCACAAAATCTTTAAGTTGTCTTTTTAACATTGTTTGTCTCGCTCTTATTTTTCTCAATAGCCCTGTTTGACTTTTGTCCTTGGTTTCACAGCCTATCACTTTTCTTATTCCCTTTTCTACCTTTCGTTTTTTTATCCATGCTCCCTCCTTCTCGGACTCTTTACGTAGGTTCCCATCTCCCAGCATATTGGTTTAAACCCTCCCCAACCGCTCTCGCAAACACTCCTCCAGGACATCAGTCCCAGTCCTGCCCAAGTATAACCCATCCAATTTGTATAGGTCCCACCTCCCCCAGAACTGGTCCTAATGCCCCAGGAATTTGAAAGCCTCCCCCTGACACCATCTTTGCAGCCATGTATTCATCCGGCATTTCCTGTCATTTCTCCTCTGACTAGCATGTGGTACCGGTAGTAATCCTGAGATCACTACCTTTGAGATCCAATTTCTTAACTTTTTTCCTAGCTTCCTGTATTTTGCTTTTAGGACCTTATCCCTTTCTTACCTATGTTGTTTGTACTGACATGTACTACGACCACTGGTTGTTCACCCTCCCCCTCCAGAAAGTCCTGTACCCGCTCCAAAATATTCTTGACCCTAGCACCGGGGAGGCAACATGCCATCCTGGAGTCTCGTTTGCGGCTACAGTAATGCCTGTCTATTCCCCTTACAATTGAGTCCCCTACAACTATTGCCCTGGCACACTTTTTACCCCTGCCCTCTGCAGCAGAACCAACCGTGGTGTAACGTGTTTGGCTGCTGCTGCTTCCCCCTGAGAGGTCAATCCCCTCAACAGTATCCAAACTGGTATATCTGTTTTGCAGATTATTTACCAGTAGAACAGGCTCAGAGTGGTCAAATGCTCCTATTTCTTACAATCATATGGCAGCACCAAGGATAATCTCACTGGGAGTGAATATTCTTGGGGGTGGGAGTTGTGGGAGTGTTAAAGGGGTGGTGACATTCAGGAAATCTGGCTGAATAGCTGAACGACAATAAGGTTTACAGTTTCAGTATCATATCGAAAGTATCGAACTGACTCCTCGGAATGCCTCAGTTAAAGCCGGAGGTGAGCATATAAAATTAAACACATGGCATACTATTAATGGAGTTTTAAATACATGACGTCATATCATGATGACTGTGTTAATAAAGGACACAATTGTATGAAAAAATGTGTTTGCCAAGCCTATCCTTGGTTTAGGAACAGAGAAGCAGTGTGCTTGTTTGTGATATTATTCACAAGTGATATAATGATACAATCCATACTAAAGAGATGAAACATGAAGTTACATATTTAACAAATGCTTAAAGCATCCAAAATTCTTCTCTTTGGCATTTCAGAAAGTAACTGGATTTTTAAAAAATAATGACAAAACACAAACTATTATTTTCAATAACAGGCCTCCAAAAGGGTATTGATTTTCATGTTTTTTCAATATATTAATATTGGAGTATTTTTCCACTGTGCTTAAAAGAAACAATATACACAATTCAGAAAAAGTATGTTACTTACATTGGTTCCAGCTGTCATAGGATTCCCCAGATCACAGACAACCATTTGAGTTGAATTGTCCACTTTATAGGCGCAGCTTAGCTTGCTCAGTGCCTGGGAAGAAAGCAAAAGGATACACAAGCAATAAGATGTTTTGCGCAAATGCTTACCTGGGGTCAGGAGTCTGCAATTAAAATTTTTGAGGTTCTGGGCTTTTTTTAAAATCTTTATCACAAAAACGAAGATTTTCCCCCTCCTCCTCCAGAAGCTGCAAGTAGAAATGAATGCCTGTATGAACGGTTACAGTTGTCATGTAGAGCTGGATTTTCTGGGAACGACAGAGGTCTCTTTCACTAGTCAGAAATGGCAGTGAGCCCCCTGTCAGAGTCAAGTTCCTTCAGGTGGCAGGGCTTCAGCATGCAAACAGCTATTGGTTAATCAGAGACTGGCAGATACTCTTCAATGCCAATAGTAATGAGGTTGGTGGCAGTACCGCACCCACCAGAAGCCTAGAAATGCTATGAGATTCCAGACCAAACCCCAGGCTGATGGCAGAACGGTGCTTTCTGAGTGGGGTTCACAAGAGGATGGTGGTGGGGGTTTGACAGGCAACGATAGGGGCCGTAACTTTCTACCTGCCCCCTGGTTAAGTTGGCCTGGCCAACATGGCTCCAGTCATGAAAGGATGCATTCAATCCAGGCCACAGACTGGGAACAATGGGAACTCAATGGTGAAACAGACTTAGGGAGTGGACGTGTGCAGTTCTAAGAAGTGCTGTATAAATTCACAAAACAGCAAAGAAACACTGGAAGAGGTGGATACAAATGCAACAGCTACTCCAAATAAGTCCAAAAATTTTAGTCTGCACTAGGAGTGAAAATGCAACCTGAGGTGACTATTTGTTTTCTATGAGCTCCGAGTATCTGGTGCCCAATTGGCATGCTGGTTTCTAACCCCAATTTGCTTTTTCAGGGTAAACACCAGCCTTGCAGGCAAAAGGGGTTGAATTGCATAAGATGGTGGCAGCCTCAACGACGGGCTGGAAAACTGGGTGTATTAGTGCCTTGGCCAGGTTGGGGGCCCATGGTGGGATTTCACGCCCATCACGAAGTTGCTGAATGGGACCTACATCCTGTCAAAGGATGGGAGAATGGAGTCTTTGGGAGTAGTGGCCTCTGCTGGGACTACACCTGGAAGAACAGGATGCAGCAATGGGCACTGTCCTAGCAGCATGATGCATAGGATCAGAGGTCTCTAGGGCCTGACAATGGAAGGGTGAGAGCAAGTGTGAGCTGGGTTTTGGCAAGGGCAGAGCAGTGTTGCCATGGGAGCAGCCATTGCCACCAGATGCAGGAAGGAGTGGTGGTCTAATTAGGAGGAGCCCACCACAAGCCTATAGCCATGCTGTCATCTGGTGTCCCCAAATGGTGCAGCGTTCACTCATCGCTGGTAAAATCCCATGGTAGGGAAGAAGGCTGAGGGCATTCCATTCTTGTCTTCCAGGCTAACAACCCCACATCACATGACCACCTCCTCCTCCTCTTCCCCCCTACCCAACCCTGCCACTGCCTCGCTGTCCCTGAGGGCTGGTAAAAGCCAGCACAAAACGTGGAGCTCTTTCCACAACTCAACAACAGTTCATGTAAAACAGGATTCCAGTGGAAAAAGCAAAGCTGATCACTGTCAATCATTGCAGTATTAACCCTTGCTTCCGTACTTACATGTTGAACTTGTTTTGGAAAGTAACATTGATCGTTGATCCTGTTCATACTATTAACATGATATGTTAATACATAGAGATGATTTTAAGCAAACCATGTCACTTTATAATTGTGAAATCATTGCTATTGAAATTCAATTCCTGAACATGAAAAGGCACAATTCTGTTAAGCATTTGTACTTCAATTCAATTTTGCACACTTCTTCAAATTTCTTCTCTATCAGTTACACATATCCAATTAATTTTATGCTGCAAATCCAGCAGTAACAGTGAGGGAGATTCTTGGATAAAATGGTCCCCAATGTCACCTCATAAAGATCACCAACTATAAGACCCTTGCGAGCTTTTTGTCTCAAGAAATCCATTTAGAATAATTGTTTGACAATTTGCAAACCACAGCTACCAGACTATTTGGACATAGTGTCTTCAGTTTTATTACCTCATTGTTGCGTATAACGCCAATGTAATCTGCTTCAGGTGGTATTATGACATTGAGTTCTGCTTCATATGCTCCTTCCCCTTCATTCCTCCCATTTATGATTAAAGTGAGAGGATTCTCATCTCCAAATATTAGCTGTTGTCTATCACTGTGAAGCAGAAAAAGGTGAAGTATCAATGTACTTTAATCTTTTTCCTTTCCTAGTCAAAGTGATAGTTCGCTATCAATCATAAGCACACTCCACAGATGTTAAAGCTATCACTTCTTCAGTCTCTCACTGACGATAAAAATGATCACAAATCTGTCATGATGAACGCCCACATACTTGACTATAAGGTTTGCATGCTGATAAGCTTCAGTGATGTATAATACATACAACATTTTCAACTTACGGAGTAGCTGTAAGTTTAAGTGCTGGGATGCAAACATTGTCCTTTCCACAATCTAGCAGAATGCGTGCCTATGTGAGAAAAGAATAACAAAGTCTGGCATTTAATTTTAAAGTTTTGTTTCAGTTATAAAGACTGGAAAAATAATTCTAATATTAGAATCATAGAGATATACAGCACAGAATTGTAAATAAGATCTCGGAAACAAAAATTTAAATTGCTTTCAAACCAGCATAAAGAGTTAGACTCAAATTGATGTAAGAATATAGGCACTCTGATCCTTGCCATAATACAAGGAAATTGCTTAAACATGTGCTAGTTGGCTAAATGCCAATTATTAGAACAAATACACCTATACAATACATTCAACTATCTATAATCCAACATATTAATATTCACTTCTGTAATTTCCTTACTTCATCTAATCTCAGCATATTTCTACAATCCTTTTCTTCATCTGCTACAATAATGCGCTGCAATTAGCAGGACAAGGCAATAAGATTTTTCCTTCCTAAAACAACCCAGTCCTTGTTAGAACTACCAGAGGGAACTGACCTTACTAATAGCAGACAGTTCCTCAAGCTCAGCATAAATCAATCTTTCTCTCCCCAGAGCTTGGTTTTCACAAGTAAGTAATGTCTCACTTGCTGAAATGAGCAGTGGGGAGAAGGTTGGAAATGAATATTGATGAGCTTGGCTTGCAGCAAAACACAGCGAAACCAAAATGATCCAGAAGGAAAGCCCCCTTGCTGTGCAGATTCCACAAATGCTCGACCCCATAAATTTCACTCAGCTCGTCGAGGAATACTGAAAAGATTGAATCCGAAAAGGCACATTTTGTCACATGTTCTGGTTGTGCTCCAGAATGCAAACTTTCTGGATAGCAGTTCAGGGAGGCCACAAGACCAAGATCAGCTTATTTGTCAGAGCCACAAAGCCCACCATGGGAAGGATTAGAAACACCACTCTCAAATTTGGCCGCAAGGACAGGCGTCAGTATATTTTGGCAAAGTACATCAACTTCCACAAAGGGGAAAATCCATCATTTGTGGGAAGGATACCAATTGGAGTAGGTATGTATAACCTGTGCCCATAAACCACAAAATGCTATCTGATCTTCCATGGTCTAGTTCTGCAGACTTGCTCATTGCAATGATACCAGAGGGTTTATTTTTCATTCTATGTAACAGGGACCATTCAGCACAACTACAGTTATGGCTGGGACTGGCAACCCTTTAGGTCCATGTATCAAATAATTTGTGTGAGTAAATTCTTCTGCTTCTGAGCATGTTGAATTATTTCTGTAATTAATAAATGTTTCCCCCTCTATTTAAGTGCCTTTTGTTCTGCAGTGAAAATTTAATTAAAGAATGTATTAAACTCTGAATTTCCATGGAACTTGCTTTTTATAGTGTCATTTTCATTCCTTCAATAGACCATATGACCATAAGAAACAGGAATAGGAGGAGGCTGTTCAGCCCCTTGAGCCCGCTCTGCCATTCAATTGGATCATGGCTGATCCAACATTCCTCACATCCACTTTCCTGCATTTTCACTGTTAGCCTTGATTCTCCTACTGATCAAGAATCTATCTATCTCAGCCTTAAACATACACAAGGGCTGTGCACCCATAACTCTCTGTGACAAGGAGTTCCAAACACTCACAATCCTCTGAGAGAAGAAATTCTTCCGCAAATCAGTCTCAAATTGGTGCTCTTTTATTATGAGTCCATGCCCTCTGGTCCTAGACTTTCCCATGATGGAAAACATCCTCTCAGCATTTACCCTGTCAAACCCCTTAAAATCCTATTTGTTTCAATGAGATCACCTCTCATTCTTCTAAACTCCAGTAAGTCGAGGCCCAACCTGTTCAACTTTTGCTCACAAAACAATCCCTCCATACCAGGGATCATCCTTCTCTGAACTGCCTGCAATGAAATGATATCTTTCTTTAAATAAGGGGATGAAAACTGCTCACCGTACTCCAGATGTGGTCTCACCAGCACCTTGTACAGTTGCAGTAAGACTTCCCTACTCTTATATTCTAAACCCTTGGAATAAGAGCCAACATTCCATTTGCCTTCCTAATTAGCTGCTGCAACTGTTTTCATCCCATTTAAATATAAATTTCCAGAAAAGTTCACACAAATATCTAGTTTGGTTCACATTGGAAATACTTCTAAATTAAAGACCTTGATCACCACAAGCAATTTGTTTGTCTATCCACACATTGTTCGAACGTTTGAGAGAACGAAAATAATTTTAGACCATGACCATTGCTGGGTCCTGACCCAACTGGTGTTCAAAGGATGTGTATGTCCGCAGCCACCTGCCATAAGAGGCACAGCTTTCTCTGACACTCCTGCTGCAATAGGTTAAGATGCTGACCCTTTGCTTATAAATCCCCTGGCTGAGAGACTGCACCATCTTCTGTCTCATGCCCCTTGGCCAAACCCTTTGTGGTGCTCGGCTACCCGAGGCTGCAATGCTCTTCTGGCTGTTTCTCTTCTGTGGTCCGCCTGATCATTGAGTAAGTCCAGGTCCACCTTTCAAAGCAGTGCCTTACTTAGTTAGTTTGACCTGGTGAAGTGTGCTTGTGCAAAATGTTCTAAATTATCAGGCTGACACTTGTTCTATCTGCCATCTCAGACTGATGACTCTTGAAGCCAAGGCTCTGACCAAGCAAGGAATCATGGATTGTCACTTCATGGCACCAACTTGGTATCAACTGCTGAAAGCAACATCTTCTTATAATGCAGCTGCCTCAACTGAACTGTGGAGTTGCAGATGTAACTTGGGTCCTGATTGCTGGAACTCCCTCCCTAGGAGCACTGTGGGTGCAACTACACCACATGGACTGCATTCATTCAATGAGCTCACCATACCCTTCTCGAGGGCAATTAGGGACAGGCAATAGATGCTGGCCCAGTCAGAAATACCCACACCTCATGAACAAATAAGTACAACTTGCATGATCTGTATTTGGAGGCCACATAAGGAAAGTTAAGTGAAAGATGCTTTATAAATGGGAAGACTAGAAGAATTCATTAAAACAAACTATGAAAATTGGCTTGTTCTATAAATGATTGTGAATGAAAAATGTATGCAAGTGGAATCTTAATAATGGTCTAGCTGGTCCTTTGGGAAATTGTCTTAGTATAATTCCATTTGGGGCATAATTTATTGTCTTTCATATAGCGTGAAGGGCCCAATCTCATTTTCTGTGTTGATTGAACATATTTATCATCGTGATTAATTAAAGTGGAATTCATCAATTTTAAACTCATTTGTATGTGGAACTTCTTTAATTTAACCTGGCTGCAGGTGGGGGGAGGTGAGGGTGTGACAGTCAGGGCATCAGCTTTATCTGTTAAAGGATTTCAGTAACTAATTTGTTTGTCCTCGGCTCTCGTGTGCTTTTGAGTACCAAGTTTATGACATCATAACACAAATGCAGCAAAAAAAAATTACTTAATACGCCAACCAAGTATTTCACTGTCCCTTCTACACTGCGACTCACCATGTGTAATAAGACCATATGACCATAAGACATAGGAGCAGAAGTTAGGCCATTCAGCCAATCTCAACTCCATTCTCCTGCTTTCTCCCCATAACCCTTGATCCCCTTGACAATCAAGAACCTATCTATCTCCATCTTAAATATACTCAATAACCTGGCCACCACATCCTTCTGTAGCAGTGAATTCCATAGATTCACCACATTCTGGCTAAAGAAGTTTCTCCTTATTTCCATTCTAAAAGGTCTTCCCTTTACTCTAAGACCGTGCCCTCAGATCCTAGTCTTTCCTGCCAGTGGAAACATCCTCCCAACATCTACTCTGTCTGGGCCATTCAGTATTCTGTAAGTTTCAATTAGGTCCGCCCTTATCCTTCTAAACTCCATTAAGTATAGACCCAGAGTCCTCAAACATTCCTCATAAGTTAAATTTTTCATTCCTGGGGCCATTCTCGTGAACCTCCTCTGAACCCACTCTATGGTCAGCACATCCTTCCTGAGATATGGGGCCCAAAACTCCAAATGTGGCCTGACCAGAGCCTTATGGAGCTTCAGAAGTACATCCCTGCTTTTATATTCAAGTCCTCTCAAAAGAAATGCCAAAGTTGCATTTGTCTTCCTAACCACTGACTCAACCTGCAAGTTTACCTTGAGAGAATCCTGGACGAGAACTTCCAAGGCTCTGCACTTCAGACTTCTGGAAAATAGTCCATACCTCTATTCTTCTTACCAAAGTGCATGACCCCACACTTTCCCACGTTGTACTCCATCTGCCACTTCTTTACCCACTCTCCTAACCTGTCCAAATCCTTCTGCAGCCTCCCCACATCCTCAATACTACCTGTCCTTCCACCTATCTTTGTATCATTTGCAAACTTAGCCAGAATGCCCTCAGTTCCTTCATCTAGATCATTCATGTATAAAGTGAAAAGTTGAGGTCCCAACACTGACCCTTGTGGAACACCACTTGTCACCAGCTGCCATCCTGAGAAAAACCCTTTTAACTCTACTCTCTGCTTTCTGCCAGACAGCCAATCTTCTATCCGTGCTAGCACCTTGCCTCTAACACCATGGGCCCTTATCTTACTCAGCAGCCTTCAAAGGCCTTCTTGAAGTCTAGGTAGCTAACATCCATTGGCTCTCCTTGGTCTAAGCTGCTCGTTATTTCCTCAAAGAATTCTAACAGATTTGTCAGGCATGACCTCTCCTTGATGAAGCGATGCTGACTTTGCTGTACCTTACCATGCATTTCCAAGTATTCAGAAATTTCATCCTTCACAATGGACTCTAAAATCTTACCCATGACCGAGGTTAGGCTAATCGGTCTGTAATTTTCAGTCTTTTGTCTTACTCCCTTTTTAAACAGGAGTGTCACGTTAGCGATTTTCTAGTCCTCCCTGACTCTAGCGATTCCTGAAAAATCACAACTAATGCCTCCACTATCTCTTCAGCTATCTCCTTAACAAGTTGCGTACATTGGAGTAAGGTCATAACATTTACGGCTTTTGCAACAGCTCAGAAGTCATAGAAGCACCTGCACTTATATGGTACATT